GACCTGCGACTGGGGCTCAGGAGAGGGCAGCAGACAAGCAATGTCATTCACCTACAAGGGAATCTGTTCATGGGTTACGGGAAATGTTAAAGGAACCCAATGACTTGGATTTCTTACTGCCCTCGCCAAAAGTCACCCAAAAGCGAAGAGTTTCAACTAAAACTCGAGAATAGAATACTCGAGAGCCCACGGGTATGACCCACACCCAAACCTCCTGCCGGGACGTCGCACGGCCAGGCCCCTGGTGACAGGGATGGAAGCAAGTTTCCATGCGGGCAGAGAGCAGGGTGTCTGAGAACATGGGGACAGAGAGCTCACAGTCCGCCCGAGAGCCACTCCTGGGACGGAGGAGAAGACAGGTTCGAATGTGTCTATGCAGCACCCTTTAGTGAACACACTAAACTGAGGGACAAGAAACATGGGAAGGAGCCCGTGTGCACACACTGCCGTGCTCTCTGAGCAACAGGAGCAAGGAAGGGAACACAGCACTGGCATTTAAGTAGCTTACAGGGGGGGCAGCCCGGGTGGCTCAGCAGTTTAGCACCACCTTCAGCCCAGGGCCTGATCCTGGAGACCCGGGATTGAGTCCCACGTCGGGCTCCCTGCATGGAGCCTGCTTCTCCCTCTGCCTGTGTCTCTGCCTCTCTCTCTCTCTCTCTCTCTCTCTCTCTGTGTGTGTGTGTGTGTGTCTCATGAATAAATAAATAAAATCTTAAAAAAAAAGAAGAAACTTAAAGGGTGTTTGCATATTGGGGTAGATATATAGTCAATATGTAAAGTTTCCCCTTTGCATAAATATGTTATTATGTCTACATCTCTTACCTCACTTGCAGAATGCTCACTCTATGGTTTTGCATCTATACCTGGTGGAATTAAAGCCTAAATTAAGTCTGAGCGGTGGGCCTTTAGGAAAATTCAAACCTCATTACAAAGACCCCCATGAGGCAAAGCCACAGTTGTCTGTCTTTCTCTGTGAACAAGCCCAGCCAAAGGGCCCTGGGAAGAAAGCCGGTCCTCGCTCATGCTCACGGGAAGGCCTGCTATCTCTCTCGGGCCAGAACAGGGCCTGGAACACCATGGGCGCTTGGCACACCGTGCTGAGGAAGTGAAGTAGTGTAGACGTCAGGTCCCCAGCACTAAAATTGGACTCACTGGTCTGTCACATGTCATGATGTCATGACCCAACCACTACCAGAAATACGAATATTTAAGAACATTCGTGTGAGGTGTCATTTACATACAGGGCTGGGTCTGTTTGCAACACATACCCTCAGGGAGCCTCCCTGTGCCGCAGACAAACCCGTCTCCCAGAATCTGGCCTGAGACTCTGTCCAGACCAGCCCCTGACACAACCTGATCTTTATTGTTCTTGATTTCAATTATTCCTGAAGGTCCTATAATCTGAGTCATAGGCTGTGTACTGGTTTCTGTCCAGTGCCTTCACTCAGCAAAACTGTCACTGTGTGTATCTGAGGTCTGCTGCTTGTAAGCACCACTCCTCGATGGCGGGCAGGAGGATACACTCACACAGGCGCTTTACAGACACGCACCTTCTCTTAGATAAATACCCAGTGGAGGAATTTGGGACACAGAGTTGATGTATGTGGACTTTTTGAGAGACTTCCAAACATGTTTGCAAACTGCACCTGGAGCTCCCTCCCCAGGCCCAGTGCGTTCCAGGCGGACAGCATCCCAGCCGAGGATGCGCACAAGGTGCCACTGGGTAGCAGGTTCTCCCTGTTGCTTTGACTTGCATTTCCTTAGTGAGGAATGCAGTTGGGCAAGTTTTCCTTTCATATTGCTGTCGTGTATCTTCCTCATGAAGTGCCTGTTCACCTGTCTTGCCCATTTTTGGTTATTTGTCTTTTTATTACCAATTAGAGTAGCTCATGTTATGTGGAAACAAGCCTATTGTTAAGGTAGTGTCCACACTGCACTGCACATACGGTCTGTTCCTCCCACCCTGTGGCTTGCATATTGATCAAGATGCCGTCTTTTGAGGAGCAAAATATTTTTTCTCCATTCAGAAATAAAAATGGTTAACTCAGCTATTCCTACCCCAAATTTTTAAAAGTATAGTTTCCTTTAAAAGAACCACAGCAAATTGCATGGATTCATTCCATATCTGCGAAAGAAAAATATTATTTTATTTATTTCACAGTAGAAGAAAAATGAGTATGGTTTCACTTAGTAAAGCTTTTATTTTCATATTTTCTCATCCATTTGTAATGCATTTGGATCGCCCAGGCTGATCCACTGACAATGGAATGTGGCTTGGCGTGCCGGGCACTTCCGGTGCATGTCTGAAAGCAGTTTCAGAGTTTTAGTAGAAAATTTAGTGTTTTCTTGGTGGCTAGTAAATACCTGAGGGTCACAGAAACACGGTGTGTTCTGGATGACAATGGCTGCTGGGTGTTCCATGAAGAGGGTCACATACGGAGAGGCTGCAGGGACGAGCACAGGATGCAGGACCCAGAGGAGACTTGAGGGTCTGGGTGTTTTCAGGAGGGCACTGAGAACCCAGGGAGTCCCACAAGACAATAAATGGTGACAAGTCGAGGACTGGAGAGCAGAGGCCGCCACCAAGCACCATGTCAGATGAGGGCAGCATGGCAGCCTATGAGGGCCAAGGCCCAATGTGGAGATTATCTTTATTGAATCTTGCACTGCAGAAAGAAAAGGTAACAAGGTCTTCATCCTTGCCTTCTCATCCACTGTGTAGCTCTGATTTTGTGATTCAACCTGGAACTCCTCCACGTAAGCAGCTTTTCAGAGGACAATGACAATGGCCCCTAATATCTGCAGGTGCAGGACCGCGCATTCACATCATGGTTGTCAGCAGCGGATGGATACGAGCCATTCAGCTAGCAGGCTTCTGGATTCCATGCCGGTCAGCGTGGACTCCACCCAACACACTCCCTCAGAAAGTGAACAGAAGAGCTGTTTCCTCTGGTGACAGTATTAAAAACCTCAGCACCAACGGAGGAATAAAACATCTCCTCCAGAACACTACAGACTGCACGGACGCCGATCTGGACAGAACCTGGGTCCCGGGGCACTGGCTTCCCTGCCCCAATCCTGGGCTCATGTCTATGCACGAGGAGGAGCTGCCCTGCTCGGGCCCACCCACACCCACGTTCACGAGGGTGCACACCTGCCTCCATGGACGCTATCCCACTGCCCCTCCCCGCCCGTCCCCCTCTTCCTTTGGAGCCTTCCTGTGAGGCCCACCTTCTCTGCACAACCTCACTCTTCCTGCTGTTAACTTCAGCTCACATGCCAGGAAAAGACAGGCACCAAGTTCCCTCAATTCGCTTTTCAATCCTCTGCTAAACACCTCAGATGAAGTAGTGTGTATGAAACAAGGAGGCTCGGTCATGAGCGTGAGGCTCTCCTGGCCTGAGGGCCACACCCGCGCCCCAAACCCCACGGTGGAGCCCACCACCACTTGCTGGCAGTCACTCCCTTGAGGAGTTTCCCAAACAAAACTGGGCCCCAGGGAGTTCCCCAGATGCCCTGTGTCAGCAGCTCCAGGTGCTCAGAGGGGACCGTGAAGCTAATAATAGCAAAAAAAAAAAAATCAAGTTGGGAATATATAGAGGAAACAAGCTGACAGGTTATTTCTAATTAGGGCCTGAAACAAAGTTAGCCCTATATCAATGGTTGTGGGAGGGAAGACAGGGAGAAGGGGAAATGGGCCAGGAAGGCAGGGTTAGTGTGAGCACGAATTCCCTCCTTTGAACCACATGACGTTTCCACTCCTGCAGATCGAAACCAGCTGCACGCTGGTAATTTTATACAATTTAATAGAATCAAAGCCAAGAACCTGCTAGGTATCTGGAAAAGATATCCTTCCAAAGGCTGAGCTGTGTGCTCCCCGCGTGAAGCCTCTCCTCCATGTGGACGGCTCTCCAGGTCCTATCACGGATTTTATCAGCTTCTCCACCTGACAATCAATCATTTGCAAAACAGTAGTAACCTTCCCTACGAAACACCCAGGCACCTTCCCCCAAAGTCTGAAGCATGAAGTCAGCTCTGCTGCACTAATGAAAAGCAAAACCCTGCATCTGAAAAGAATGCCTCACACAGAATGTCAAAAATGACAGAAACTGTTTATTTCAGAATTCGTTTAGACCACCCCTCTGCACACGGCCTGGGCAGCCTCAATCACATTCTTGCTTTCTTGTCTACAAAAACATGGGTGTGCCAAGAGCGTGTAAGCCCCATGACATACGCCACATAATATGAATCATTTTATCATCCAAATCCCAGAAGGGAATCTTCCCAGCATCCTAATTACTGAAAGTGGAGCAGGCCGGACAGACCTGCATCTCGGCCCCCGTTTCCATCGGAGGCCAGGACTCGCCCGGAGGTCAGCGCCCCTTACCCCGGGGCACACTGACAGGGCCATCCCAGGAAGCAGTGCTGAGCCTCAGTCTTCCTACCTGTGGGATGAAGGACACTCCCTCTGATCATTGCTGTAGGATCAGGAAGAGGGACGGGCTGACCTACCCTCTCAATAGGATACTTTTGAGATTGCTGGTGGTCGTCTACAGTGTCTTCTCATAGCCCCAGGGCAGGCCACCTCTGGACCCCACCTTACCCTGCCCTGGCCCGTCCCCCAGACAGGTGTCCTCTGCAGCACCGTGCCCCACCTTGGCGACCTCTGACCTGGTGAAGCCTTGCCCCCGAGGCCAGGCAGCCCTTTCCTCCCACCCACCCTGGTGAGGGCTAGCTCCTCTGCAGTCTGTCAACTTTGTGTGTGAAAAGAATGCCTTCAAATGGGTTTTCCAAGACACAATTCCAGCACTACCTCCCTATGATGTAGCTTTTGTCAAGTATTTGGAAAATAAAACTAATAGTAACTTCTGAACTCATTGCATTGTCATAAAAACTGGGTAATGAAGTGAAATCACATTAAAATGAGAAGTGCTATATAATACATTATTTTTATTAATGTTCTCTGATGAAGGTAGAAGAACCACCCATGTTGACATCACCGTGCACTTGCTTATTGCTTGGTAATCACTATATAACACACATAAAACATTAACACGATGCCCCACACCTTCAGCAAGTCAGACTAGCATGGCCCCAGTGCCCGCACCACAGTCGAGTGGCCCCCTGGCTCTGCCCCCCACACTCCCACTCCTCCTGCCTCTCACCTCAGCAACAGCTTTTCCAATTTACTTTGTCCTGCATTGTCCCTGACAAAGCTTTCTAATGTCTGGGGTTTTATTTTTTTTTTAACACATTAGTTTTTCTTTAAAATATTTGGCTATTATTATTGACATTCAATCATTTAAAATCTTTTTCTCAAAGTCACATTTGAAGCAACTGGAATCAAGACTTACTTTAGAGAAAATCTCTATTAAAAAAATGAAGGCGATATGTAAGAAGACGTAACACCACAAACATCACACGTGGAACTGGCATGTGAAAGACAAAATGCTGGTGCACCTGCTGGCACCAAAGCTTCCCCAGAACATTAAAAATAGAACTATCACATTATCCAGCAATTTCACTTCTGGGTGTTTTCCCAAAAGTCCAGAAGGCATGGTCTTGAACAGATCCTTGCACACTGACATTCACAGCAGCAACAGTCACAACGGCCGAAGGTGAAAGCAACCCAAGTGGCCATGGACGGATGGACAATGAACAGCATGTCTATCACCCGGCGAGGATCCCGGCACCTGCTATGACACGGATAGACCTTGGGGACATTATGCTCAGTGACATGAGCCAGTCACAAAAGGACGACTCCACAGGGGAATCCAGGCACAGAGAGGAGGAGGGTGCGGCCGAGTGGGGAAGCGGACCCGGTGCTTAGTGGGGGTGGCTTCCGTTTTGCAAGATGAGGAGGTTCTAGTGATGGATGCTGGTGGCGGCTGCACAGCAGGGTGGACACAGCTAACACCACTGAACTGTGTCCTTAGAAGTGGTTCAGATGGTGCTCTTCATGTTATGTGTAGTTTGCCAGAATTAAGAATAATATGAAAAAAAATTTCAAATGCTGTAACTGGAATTAAGAACACTAAATAACATTCTATGGGTTTACTTGTCCATTTAACGCTCCATTTACCTATTTTTAACTGGTTTCAAAAGAATTTAATTTTAACAAAGGGAGATAGTAGAATTGCTATACATAGATTAAATAACTCCAAATGTTAGAAAAATAAAAATGAGTTTTTCCCAAAATGTTGTCTCGCTAAAACTTTGCAAGGAAAGCATGTATATTTCTGATTAGTCTATGCGTGGACATTCCCATGTGGAGCCGGAGGCCCACCTGTTATTTCTCAGAAGGGGAGTGAGAGCACATCTGTGGGCAGGAGAGGGGCAAGGTCGGTCCAGGGTCGGTCCAGCCAGCCCTACGAGGCTCTGTCCTGTGGCATCGTGTGCTGTTGGTCATTGGCCATCTGGACCTGTTCTAGAAGCATCCTGACTCTCCTGGGACCCCAGAAAGACAAGACTTGGCTCTGGGCCCTAGGAGGGCGGATACCTGCTGTCCATCTCCAGAACAGCCATTCGTGGCTGGGGAGTTTGTGTGCGATCCTGGGGATCCTCAGACTCTGCCTCCACTGAGAGGAAAGGCCCAGTAGCCAAACCTTGTGCAGAGCCCCCTGTTCACCGAGCAGAACCGGGGCAGGTCGTCAGGAGGCCTGGGGCAGTGCTGCCCACTGCTGAGCACCCACCCTCCTAGCGTGGATTCCCCTTCCCACCTGCAAAGTCTGTTATGAAACAAACACTAGGTTACAGGCTATTGAAGAACATTCTGTTTTAACTTGCCCACATTCTGTGCAGAAGTACCGGATGCCAACTCCATTCTTGCAGTAGGGGTGACCCTTGGAGGAGCGGGGGGCACTGCCGGGCGTGAGCAGCAGTGTGAGGAGGGGAGGGACGTGAGTCCTGGTGGCGCCGGGCCCCCCGCCGTGGTCGCCGGCCAGCGGTCAGCCGTCCGCTATGAACAGCTGCAGCCTGCCGTCCAGGGCGGCTGAGGCCAGCTGCAAACAAAAACAAAATACCGTGCGGTTCAATCACTTTCCTGAGCTGGGAATCCTATGAGCTCACAGTGTTGAGTTTCCCTCACTTGCAATTTTCTAGACCACAGAACAAAATGCATTAAATGTGTATACAGCAGGCACTTTACTTATCGTTGATTGACACGAACTACATTTCACTGCTATTCTAATGCTGGCGGTGCCTGGGTTGGAATCCAGGGTCGACCGGCCCGGAAAGGAGAGGAGAGGAGAGGAGAGGAGAGGAGAGGAGAGGAGAGGAGAGGAGAGGAGAGGAGAGGAGAGGAGAGGAGAGGACAGGATGGCCACTCCCTCTGGCTTCCCACCACTGCCCTGCCCGGGGAGGGGGTGCAGTCAGACAAGGAGCCAGGCCCTCTTCCTTCCCCCTTGGTCCTCAGGGGCCAGCTGGTAAGGCCCACCTGCCCCATTACTCAGGGACATGAGGTCTGTGTTCTGGGGAGCAAATCCAGGCAGCGCCCACAGGCTCTCAGCCCAGAGGTCTCAGGTGGCCACGTGCATGAGGGCCTCACCTGCCACTCCCATAGGGACCCAATGCTGGTCCACTACTGCGATATTGTGCCTCGGGTCACCTCGGGTCTGCACCAAAATTCTGCATTTTGAAACATTACACAAATCACCCCCATGGACACCCAGCGTGGTTTCAAATCCAATCAACTCTACTCTTCTCGTCCCAAGAAGCCACCACAACCCTGACCTATCCTATGATCTACAGCCTGGATGGATCTTTGAATCTGCTCTTCATCAGATGACGTAATCGACACCCACGCCCTGGCGATGCTGCCGCTTGACCTTCGCCGCGTCCCCAACAGCCCCACGTCAGGGTCCTCACCTCTGATCAGAGCAGCACAATCTGTGCCCCCCTGGAGAACATGGGCCAGATCACTTGTCCCAAGCACTGTGTGGGCCTCTGGTATTGCAGTCAGGGTTTTTCAATCTGGGTTGCGGGTGTGTGGGGCAGGTGGCCCCCCCTCCCCTTCCACTGTAGGCTGTTCTTGCCCCGACACTGAGGTAATTCAGTGCAGTCGTGATACTTGAACAAATGCTGCTTCGACATCTTCACCACATTTGGGTGCGGCACCTCCGGTCGGGCCGTGGCGGGACATGCCGAGCCCGCCGGCCGTGGAGGGCGATGCAATAAGGAGCAGTGTGTACTTTTGTGGCCTTTGATTTTTAAAAGCCTCTGCTTTGGAAATGTTTAAAAATCTGTAATAAAATAGTCAACAGGAGAAGACTTGGCTGCTTCTGTTGTGAAAGATCTAGAAGTTCTAAGAACCCCTGGCCAGGAAGAAGAAGAGACAGCAAGGTGTGCATCCTGGGCTACGGGGGTCCCCTCCTCAAGTCACACCCTGGAGAAGCAGGTGGCCCACACCAGACGGCTGTGGGGCCCCCAGCTAGGGTCTGCTGCCCCATCCAGAGCAATGTCGGGGTCAGTTGACATCGTGTGGAGGGGCGGGGTTGAGGGGGCAGCTATACAAACCCCCTCTCTGCACCTGGCCCTGGGCTGGGCGGGCCACCGAGGAAGGCCTGGACATCTTCCAGCTTGTCATGCGTGTGCTCCAGAAACTTCCCGACACCCCTAGGCCATATGACAAAGTACCGCAGACTGGGTGGCTGATGAACTACAAGCATTGTCACTCAGTCTAGGGTGCACAGGACCAAGAGCAGCAGCCATGGCAGGAAGGGCGTGGGGTGCTCCAGGCTCTCCTTGGGGCACAAAGAGTTCCCTGAGGGCCCTACCTCATGACTAGTCACCTCCCAAAGGCGCCCCCTCCTGACACCAACACATCTGTCCATTGCAGAGCCCAGGTCAGGGTTTGGGGAGCCGTGAAGTCACACTGACTGTTAGACCTGAGTGTACGTGCTGACATCGATGCTCGCCACAAGACTGCGTCTGCCGTGCAGTCCCCATGGACTCTGCGACCCCAGGCTGGGCTCACACACTGCATTGTGCCTGCAGCTCCTTGCCGTCTACACCTCACACCCTGTCAGGAAATGTACCCCTAGATCCCCTCAGCTTTACACAAATCATTTTTTTCTTTTCTTACAGAGTGTTAGGTTCAAGATGTCCCAATAATATCTTTGGAGATGGATCATCAATCTGTCAACAGCCTCCTGGGATGACATTTTTATGTTGATTGACACAGATGGGTCTTTGCTGTCATAAATGACTGAGTCAAACATCAGAAAAGCAGAATAGGGACACCTGGGTGGCTCAGCAGCTAAGCGTCTGCCTTTGGCTCAAGGTGTGATCCCAGGATCCAGGATCGAGTCCCACATTGGGCTCCCTGCAGAGAGCCTGCTTCTCCCTCTGTCCATGTCTCTGCCACTCTCCGTGCGTCTCTCAAGAATAAATAAATACATCTTTAAAAAAAAGAAATGCTAAAATAACAACTGCACCATTTCTGAGTGTTGGCAGCACAGTGTGATGCCCTGCCTGGAACATGTCTCTATTGATAGTAATGATGATATTGAAATTAATACAGACACCCTGTTTTGGAAGAAGTCAAGCAGAGAAGCATCTAGGATTTCATTACCTGATTAAAACTTTAAGTCCCTTCCAGAGTTTCAGCATGATGATCACGATCACAGACATGAGTCAAGACTTTGTTTTCACCACATATCTGCCATAGGCTGCAAGGTGAGTCACCTCTCTCTACCTCCATTTGGGATCAATATTGGGATGACATTACCTAGTCAGGAGTCATTCAGGCTATTCTGTTCATGCCCCTAAAGCACCTACCAGAACCAGACGTGTGGGGCACCCTCAAAAACTTTAGAATTGTTGTAGGACCAAACAGATGAGGGACAGATACAGATAAAAATCTTCAATTTTCAGACCCAGTATACAATTTACATAATCCTGAGAGTAATGGACTAATGTTTACAGTTCAGATCTTATAATTCAGATCTGAGAATGTTTATTGTTTTGGAAGAAGAACTTAGTTCTTATTTCAAAGAAATGCCTAAAACAAAGTCATATTTCACATTGTAGCAAAACATCACTTATTCACAAGTCCCTAAATAATCTTCCCCTCATGGACATATGTCAAACTTATTTTAAAGTGTCTCTTTAACTGGACTGTATCAGAGACAATGATAATAAACCACACGCATCTGGGATAAAAAAAAATGAGGTTTATCTCCTCTAAATACCTCAGTCTGCAAAACACTGCTACAAATCTCATACTAATGACATCTTACAACATTAATAACCCTTTCTTAGAACCTATCTTCAAACAACATAAAAATCACTTTCAGATGGCTGAGGCATTTCTATTTCCAAACTCTAAACCATTAGGAAAAGCACCAACATCCAGGGGATAAACACAGTAGCTCTTAGTCCTGAGAGTTTCATTTGAGTTTGGCTAGGAATTCAACCTGCAAAGGTCGGATCCTCATCCATGTAGGTGGAACACAAGCTGCATGTCCCCAGCTGTTTGTCCTGGGGTGCAGGTGCCCTTTGGGGGTGAAGACAGAGAAAGGCAGAGCCCTGACCACTCTGCCTAGAGGGCCAGGAGGGAGCTGTGAGAACCCTCAGGGGATGTGACTAACTCTTTCAGGGACAAGTTAAGCAGAAAGGCATTTGGTTATATGGTTACTGTAATGTCCAAAGGAGCTGAACAACAAAAAAAGACTCTGGAGTCAGGAGAAGCAGAAGCCAGCACCCTGTCATCATCACCTGTGTCCGCCCCTGGGAACATTTTCTTTTTTCTTCTTTCTCTTAGGGAACCATGTGTTTCTAATTATCAAGTCCACGCAGCCAGAAAAGAACAAAACAAACAAAACAAACAGCAGCAAAATCTCATCTCACTTAAGCTACTAGGCTTCAGCCACTGTTTCCTGCAGGTTCTAGTCTTACCATGGGGCCCAAAAAACTTCATACGTCCAGTTATCGCTGCTCCTGTGATAACCATGTGTGTGGAAAGTTCCCAGAAAGGCAGTGAGACAGAAAGACAAAATACAAGGAACAGGGATGAGTTCTTTCCTTGAATAAAATCAGGACATCCATGACAGTGTGTGTATGCTGTCCACTGCAGCAGGGGTACTGACCTCACCACTGCTCTTGCAAAATCTAGGCTAGCGACTCCTGAAGGGACTTATGTTCTGAGGTTGGATGAGCCATGTTCATACATACAGTTGAGCTTCAGGAAAAGAGAGACAAGTCTGACAAAGGAACTGAAAGCCAGAGTGACAAGGTTATGACATCACTTTCTGCCCAAGGAAATCACAGTCAAAGCAAAGTGTGTGTATGCTAGGGGACATCCTGGGTTTCAGTCGCTATGTGAACATAGAAGGTGAGAACGTGAGGTCTCATGATAAAGGGAGTTGGGCCAAGAAAACTGACCAAAGTCTGAAGATTCACACGTTTAGATTTGAGTGAAGCATGGAGAGGAAGGCCACTTTGATGCCAGGGAGACAAGATATCTCAGCCTGAGGTGAGGAAATCACCTCCAATACCATAACCAAGGACAGCCCAGAGGGAATTTGCAGTTTTCGCTTATGCTATAGAATACAAGGAAATCCATATCAAGGAACTAACTAGAAAAAAAAAAAGGAGTCTCAGCTACTAATATTCCCAAAGCACCCATTAGAGCAAACCGAAGACCCCTGAACCACTCCTCCACAAAAGCAGGACCCTCAGGGATACGCTCTGCTGAAGGTCATCTCTGGACCTTTTCCTGTGAATTAGAGTTAGTGGACACAACATACAGCATAAATGGAGTGAGTACTGGACACCGCAGACAACTACATGGTCTTCAGATCAGTAAGTTTAAAATGGCTAGGAATATAATAAAAGGATTAGCTGCTATAATAAAGAACTGTATGATTGAAAACAATCATGGTGAAGATAGAAATAAGAGTCAGTAAACAAACTTTCAATTGATGAATTAAGAGCTGACTAGGAACAGCTGAAGAGAGAATTTATGAACTGGAAGACAGGTGTGAAGAAATCAGTCAGAATG